GGGTGCCCAGCACCCCTCACAGAGACCCCTGGACAATGGGGGGGGGAACCTCTGGGTGCCCAGCACCCCTCACAGAGACCCTTGGGCGATGGGGGGACCCCTGGGTGCCCAGCACCCCTCACAGAGACCCCTGGGCAATGGTGCCTGGTGCCCCTAAGCAAAGGGCCCTGTGGAGGGGGGGTGCTGAGCTATAGCTGAAGCTCCTTGTCAGTTTCTGGGGCCCCTCCCCTGAGCGTGTGGGGCCCCCAGGCTCCTACTGACCTTGTGGTTTGTGTGCAGGGCCCGGCAGGCGCTTCTGGGGAACCGGGTCCCCCCGGTCCCCCAGGGAAGAGGGTGAGTAGAGGCTGCCAGTGGGTCACGGCTCGTGGGGGAGGGGCCCAGTGGGGTCAGGATCTGGGGGGAGGGACTCAGTGGGGTCAGGGAGGAGGGGATTGGGGGAGGGCACAAATGGGGTCAGGGATGGGGAGATTGGGGGACAGGCTAATGGGGGTCAGGATCTGGGGGGAGGGGCCCGTTGGGGTGGGGGGATTGGGGGACAAGCTAATGGGGTCAGGATCTGGGGGAGGGGCCCAGTGGGGTAAGGGAGGAGGGATTGGGGGAGGGGCCCAGTGGGGTTGGGGTCTGGGGGAGAGGCCCAGTGGGGTCAGGGTGCGGGTGACTCACTCGCCCTCTCTCTGTGCAGGGTGCGGTGGGGCCAGCTGGGCGCGAGGGTCGGCCGGGCGAGAAGGGCGCCAAGGTAAGGGGACCCCCCCAGCACTTCTGGTGCCTCGTCGCGGGCGCTGCCAGGCCTTCCCCCCCCCCCCCGGGGGCTGGGTCAGCCCCCATCTGTGCTGAGCTGGCAGCCAGGGACCCGGGGAGGGGTCTGGGGGTCTGTGTGCTCAGGAGACCTGCCCCCAGGGCTGGGCTGAGACCCCCCCAACTCGATCCCCCCCACACCCGGGAGCCGGCGAGACGGGGATCCCTGCCTGGGGCCCGGGCTCTGACGCGGCCCCTTCTCCCCCTGCCCAGGGCGAGCCGGGCACCGAGGGGCCTCCCGGGAAGATGGGCCCCGTGGGGGTGCAGGGCCCCCCCGGCCGGGCTGGCTCAGAAGGTCTGCGCGGGATCCCCGGTGCAGCCGTGAGTGCCAGCCTGGTGGGGCGCGATGGGGGCGGGGGGGGGGCCGGTGAGTGAGGAGGCGGTGGGCAGCTGAGGAGGTGGGGGTGAGCAGAGGGGGCAGGGCCGGTGAGTGAGGGGGCGGGGGCAGCTGAGGAGGTGGGGGTGAGCAGAGGGGGCAGGGCCGGTGAG